AAAAATATCAAATACTTAAAGAGTTTCTGGGGTTTCGTTTGTTTACTTAACTGGTCTAGGCGGTAGCAAGGATGGTTAATGTGTGTGCTTTAAGGTGCAGAGGAAAAGAAAACAGGGAGAAACAGTTTCACCAGTCAGAATTCAAAAGAGAAAGAGAGAAGGAGAGAGAGAGAGGAAGAGGGGCGAGTGAAATAAAAGACAACAAAAATGAGCTCATTGCAGATGTGGAAGCCAAACATGCCAAAGCGACAGTTTTGGCATGTTATTCCTCCTACAGAAATCATTTGTGTGCAGCTTTTGGTCCAGTAAGCAAACAACTCTTTGCCAATAAATTGAAATTTGTGCGAGAACAAATAGAAGGAGCATTTTATCCGGTTCTCACCATGCCGACTACGAATCAGCCTCAGAGCTCTGAGGTCAAGTCCAAACCGAAGGCTGCACATGTCGATGGCATATCAACCTGTTTCACAGCAGATACTTTGATCTGGGAGTATTAAAGTGGGCTGCATCCCACCTCAGCACCCCCACATGCTGATCTGATGTGCAAAACAAACCTTCCATAAAGTGGTAATCAGCCCCCTCTAATACTAGAGATGCACCAATCAGAAATGTGGCTCATTTTCAATCATTTTACTCCTAAAACTTTGACATCCTGAGGCTGACTTTAGTGCATTTTGATTTTTCTTCACAAAACTAAAACTGTACAAAAACATACAAGATGAAAATACTTCTTTGTCTCCAAATATGTTCTACCCAGAACTCCAGTGACCTAGTTTGAGCTTCAACTGGTTCAAATTACTGTATATAAAGACATAAAAAAAAACTTTTTAGGCTCCTTTTGCTATTCAATTAATCAAAATAAGTTAGAATTTTTAGCAACAGATGCATCCTTTGCTACAAATAATCAAGCGTTCACTAAAGGAATACCGTGTTGTTGAATCTTAGACAATACCATTTTTATTTTCTCATTTTTTAAATGTTTATTTACATCTTTTAATGCATTTCTAATAGTGTAAAAAAAAGCCTATTAGCCAAATGAAAAGTCTGCAGAATGTGCCAATTTATTTCAAAATAATTGATAACTAAACTAATCACTAGTTGCAGCCCTAAACAAGCAGTTAAAACCTCAAAACATTTCTTCAATAAGCTCCCTAACCCCAACACTCTCCTCAAAGCATCACTCTCGCAACCTCAAGACACGTCTCCACATGTTTAAAATGTTTTTTCCCCCTAAATATTCTTCAATCTTTCCGACATCTTTTTTTAAACTTCTGCACCAGGAGTGTAGTTGTCAGTGTGAACTCACTGATCATAAATAGTTTGGATCTTTGAGTCACTACCCGCCTTTTCACCGGTTCGGGCTTATCGAGATGAAAATTGATCAAATCCAGCCACCAATCAATTTCTTGGTGCATCTCGAAATAAGACGACTTCAGCTTTCCCACTTCACCTCCAATTATCTGCTATGAAATTCGACTACCAGCATGTCAGCAACACATTTCTAACAAAGCATGAGAGCTGTCTTGTTTGAAGCAGTTGTCTGTTTGTCAGAAGTAAAGTTATCTTGAAGGTGAGGAAAGTTTAATCTAAAACATTATAAAGCTGCATTACAATAAATAAAGTTTAAAAATACACCAAAAGGTGAACAAATTGATTATCTACAACTGACTGATTAATGCAAACGTACAACTGCTTCAAGCGAATGCTTAAGCAACCTACTCCTCTGTAAATTTACATCAAAGAGAAAATTTAAAACAAACATGAAGACACTTTATTTTGAAACAAAAACAGAAGCAAATTATTGTTGGAAAGGTTTCCTATATCCTGATGCAACTTCAGGAGAACAGAGAATGAAAACAAGCAGTTTTGGAAGAATGGAGACGATCTGGATGAGTGTGACTGACGACTTGTGAAGCATGTTTTAATGTTGAAGTGGACCGAAACTAAAAGGGCCGATATGCTAAAGTTCCAGGAAGAAGAAGAACAACAAAAATAGATGCAGTCAAAAACTTTAATCTCGACTTTGACTTGTTTATTCCAACCTCTGAACAGTTTGAGCATGTTCTCATTAAGGCTGAAATGATTAATCAAATTAATCGTGATTAATCGATTAATTAAATAATCGTCACCTAATTTAGTAATAGATTAATCGTTAACCAGAGTANTCAACAAGTGAACAATTTTTGTAAGTGCATGAGGCTGTTGAATTAAAAACACCAGTTCACGATGACTATGGAGAACAGGAAAAGAAAATATTTCCATTACTTGACAAAAATATGTTTAAGGAAAAGAAAAAAAACAAAACAAAGTATATACATTTCTTGTTGAAAACACGTGTATGGAAAAGGAAAAACAAAAAATATAGATTTCTGCTCAATTTATATCATATTTGGGTGGATGCCTTTGTCCAGGAAGTGGGTGAGCACGAGAGTCCTGCACAAATTGGACAAGTATGGGAAGATGGACAAGTATTGATAAGTTTGATTTTTTATTGTTTTGGTCACTTAGTTTGGCATTTTCTTCACAGAATCATTTGGATAGGGTCCAAAGTTACCATGGATTTTCATGATTTTCTTCTGTGTGGGATTTGTCAAATTTGACATGAATAGTCAGTCATTTGGAAGACGTTCAGAGTAAAACAAGTTGTCAAATCAGCTTTGATAAATGATTTTCTACCCCTCTTCTACAGACTTAAAAACAACAAAAAAAATGGCAAAAATATTTTTCAAGATGAATCCAGAAGCTTGGTCATAGTTTATGTTGGACATAAACTTTTACGAGTTCGCTTTGTAGTCTAGAGAGTACTTTGTCAATTGTTTAAGAGTAAGAGTGATAAATCCGGTGTCATCAACATTTTGTCATTTTAAGGATACTACACATATGATATTGAGACATTTGTAACAGAGTTCTAGTCTCCATATAACAAGCAGAAAAATGACAGGACAGCAAAATTATCTTCCTTTTTTTTACTTGTACTGAAATCAAATGGACAATGAATACAACATGGTCAAGGAACAACTAGCTAGTATCTAGTCTTTAAAACCACAACGGTCTAATTTCAGTGACATAAATGTTTATATACTGTATATATTGCCTTCTGTATATGTACATAGGTACAATCAAAGTACATACACACACCGTTAGGGTTTGAACACCCATACAAACAGGTCACACGATTTGTAATGATTGGACTTCCTTCACTTCTGACTGGATGAGGGGAAAAAGAAGTTTCCAAAACAAAAGAAATGCATAGATTGGAAATTTGAACACGATATGCCACAATGAAGCACTACACACAGTAAAGTACACTGGATTTGGAGCTTGGTCCCCAAAAAAGAAAAGAAATACAAAACAGACACCAATACTTCACTAAAAGGAGAACAGGAAGTGATATGTTGGAGGGCAATCGATGGAGGTTATACAACAGCATTCTGATATTGTTTGGAGGCGACGGAGGATGTAGTGTAGCTGTAAGCCTTAAAAAATACAAATATCAATCTTTCCCTTTTAGTGTCCCAACTCACCACCCTTACAGTGTTACGAAGGACCACAGACCAAACGCTTTGGTCAAATCCAACGAGACTTTAATATGGGGCCACAAAACGTGAGGTCTCGACTAGTCTGAGGCGGAAAGACGGAAAGCTTTCAAAGGGGGCGGAGAAAGGATAATCTCTACAGGCCTGCGTGAAAATGGAAACCCGGGCTGTCCCCCTTCACCTTAGAAGATAAACGTTGTGGATTCAGTAGTTGGTTCGTTGGTGTGTGAGGTGGAAAAAAATAAAAACAAAAAAACAAAAAGAAAAGAAAAACATGACAAGGAATGGACTTCCCCGGATCTCTCTGGTCTCTAACGGACCAGCGGGGACTGCTTTAGGGAGATGAGGACGGAGCGCATGCGGGACACGTCTTTGGCCTGCTTGCTGGACTTGGGGTTGAAGTCACAGAGCCGAGCCACCCGCTCCCACTCTGTGCCGGGGTTGTTCTCGTCCAGATCCGAAATCATGGCTTCCTCGGCCGCCCTGACAAGAGGAGGAGGAGGAAGGGGAAAAAACGGGTCGGTCAGTGGAGGAAGAAATGAAAGATCCATAAAAACCACAAACAGGAGAAAGTCTCTGCAGAGAGCCAACACAGGTTTATGCTGGATCACCTTCATGCAAGGAGTGCACCAATTGGCCTGTCCTAATAAGGAATAAAATCAATCAATCAGCTGGTAAATTAAAACAAACTCAGTTTCCATTTGTATGATTTATCATTTCTCTTTTTTTCCACCAAAATCTAGATGACAAGTTTTCAGTCTGGAGCTTTGGTCACAACGAATCCTACTTTTGAAGGACAATTTTGCCTACAGAGACTTCATAATTCATTTTATTTGTTGTTCTTGTTTTTATTTATTCTGGATATTCAAAATGTCGTCCAGTTTCAGGGATACATGTTCACTAGAAGTTAAAGCTTATTGATCTTTGAGAATATGTTCCTGCATCATTATGCCATTAATAGTAATTGCAATAAGCAATAATATTATTTTGAGACCAATTGTTATTGCAATAACTTCTGGGACAATTTTATCACCCAGGAACATTTGTTATCATGACAGGTCTATGCACCGACTGCTTTTTTCTGACTGATTGCTGAGCTTTAAAAAGTCCCAGTTGCCAACTCCAATTTTGGCCAATACTGTTTTTTTTTTCCTTTAAAAAGTTGCTAAATATAGCAACTTGACACTAATTATTGTGACTATTGTTTGACCACGCACATGCAGATTAGAGTCTCTGGCAGCAGTTCAAAAGGGAACAGTGGCTGATTTTTAGAAATTTGCAGAGGTAGTCAAGTATTGACTGATCACCAATCATCCAAAATTATTTGGGCCGATTTATCATCCAACTGGCTTATCGGTGCACCCAGGTTTCATTCTGCTTTAGCTCCTCACTTTTGACATTTAGCTCAAATCTTCTAGACCCGACAGGAGGATTTCTCAACTTTTGGCTGGGTTGGACTGTTCGCTCTGCAGAATCTGCCTCAGCACAGGTTAGTCCCATCATAAATATCAAGCTTAATTACACCCACAGCTTTATTGTCTGCAACACAGCCGCACCCTCGTTCACACATAACACCACAATTACCCGATTTGTCAGACGACCCACAACAGCAAGCAGAGGTACGTCAATGCCGCCAATAAAAGAAAAAACATCAAAAAGGAAAAAGACTTGGCCAAACTAAATAAAAGGCTGGAAAAGGGTTTTAGCTGGTTAAACACAATTAACTCCTACAAATACGCTAAAGCTTGCCTTGTGGGTGCACATTTGACAAAAATCTCACCCATGTAGAGAACATTCATTAAATATATGACCAATAGCAGAAAGCTTTGGCTTTTTTTTTTTGTTTTGCCTTTTTCTTTAACCGAGCTACTGCGACTTAGCCATGCGCTGTGCTGCGGCAAAGGAGCAGGAATGGTTTCCTTTCATCTTGTGTGTGAAAAAACTAAACGGATGTATCTGAAAACAGACCGAAAAGTGTAAAAAAAATAAAAATTATATATATATATATATATATATAAATAAAGAAAAATAAAATCACCAAGACCTTTTGAGATCCAATCCAGGCTATGAAAAAACAACTATCTAATACCCACCCACATAATATAACCTCCGGAGTTAATCTTTATTTACACTGACATATTCGGAGTTCCCACACTGTCTGTAAACACAAATTCAGCTCAAATAAATGAATTTAAAAAAAGTAAACACAGTAAAATGGGGGATGGGAAACTAACCAACATTCACAACCATCTACCAAACACAAGGGACTAAAAGGACAACGGCGTCAAAGAAGGGACAATACAGCAATCAGTAGAGTTAAACGAAGAAGCAACTAAACTGAACAAATAAAGAAAAAACAACAACAAAAAAAACAGTCACAAGATGGATTCCGTCCTCAAAAATATCAAATACTTAAAGAGTTTCTGGGGTTTCGTTTGTTTACTTAACTGGTCTAGGCGGTAGCAAGGATGGTTAATGTGTGTGCTTTAAGGTGCAGAGGAAAAGAAAACAGGGAGAAACAGTTTCACCAGTCAGAATTCAAAAGAGGGGGAGAAGGAGAGAGAGGAAGAGGGGCGAGTGAAATAAAAGACAACAAAAATGAGCTCATTGCAGATGTGGAAGCCAAACATGCCAAAGCGACAGTTTTCTTTATTCTTCCTACAGAAATCATTTGTGTGCAGCTTTTGGTCCAGTAAGGAAACAACTCTTTGCCAATAAATTGAAATTTGTGCGAGAACAAACAGAAGGAGCATTTTATCCGGTTCTCACCATACCGACTACGAATCAGCCTCAGAGCTCTGAGGTCAAGTCCAAACCGAAGGCTGCACATGTTGATGGCATATCAACCCATTTCACAGCAGATACTTTGACCTGGGAGTATTAAAGTGGGCTGCATCCCACCTCAGCACCCCACATGCTGATCTGATGTGCAAAACAAACCTTCCATAAAGTGGTAATCAGCCCCCTCTAATACTAGAGATGCACCAATCAGAAATATGGCTCATTTTCAATCATTTTACTCCTAAAACTTTGACATCCTGAGGCTGACTTTAGTGCATTTTGATTTTTCTTCACAAAACTAAAACTGTACAAAAACATACAAGATGAAAATACTTCTTTGTCTCCAAATATGTTCTACCCAGAACTCCAGTGACCTAGTTTGAGCTTCAACTGGTTCAAATTACTGTATATAAAGACATAAAAAAAAACTTTTTAGGCTCCTTTTGCTATTCAATTAATCAAAATAAGTTAGAATTTTTAGCAACAGATGCATCCTTTGCTACAAATAATCAAGCGTTCACTAAAGGAATACCGTGTTGTTGAATCTTAGACAATACCATTTTTATTTTCTCATTTTTTAAATGTTTATTTACATCTTTTAATGCATTTCTAATAGTGTAAAAAAAAGCCTATTAGCCAAATGAAAAGTCTGCAGAATGTGCCAATTTATTTCAAAATAATTGATAACTAAACTAATCACTAGTTGCAGCCCTAAACAAGCAGTTAAAACCTCAAAACATTTCTTCAATAAGCTCCCTAACCCCAACACTCTCCTCAAAGCATCACTCTCGCAACCTCAAGACACGTCTCCACATGTTTAAAATGTTTTTTCCCCCTAAATATTCTTCAATCTTTCCGACATCTTTTTTTAAACTTCTGCACCAGGAGTGTAGTTGTCAGTGTGAACTCACTGATCATAAATAGTTTGGATCTTTGAGTCACTACCCGCCTTTTCACCGGTTCGGGCTTATCGAGATGAAAATTGATCAAATCCAGCCACCAATCAATTTCTTGGTGCATCTCGAAATAAGACGACTTCAGCTTTCCCACTTCACCTCCAATTATCTGCTATGAAATTCGACTACCAGCATGTCAGCAACACATTTCTAACAAAGCATGAGAGCTGTCTTGTTTGAAGCAGTTGTCTGTTTGTCAGAAGTAAAGTTATCTTGAAGGTGAGGAAAGTTTAATCTAAAACATTATAAAGCTGCATTACAATAAATAAAGTTTAAAAATACACCAAAAGGTGAACAAATTGATTATCTACAACTGACTGATTAATGCAAACGTACAACTGCTTCAAGCGAATGCTTAAGCAACCTACTCCTCTGTAAATTTACATCAAAGAGAAAATTTAAAACAAACATGAAGACACTTTATTTTGAAACAAAAACAGAAGCAAATTATTGTTGGAAAGGTTTCCTATATCCTGATGCAACTTCAGGAGAACAGAGAATGAAAACAAGCAGTTTTGGAAGAATGGAGACGATCTGGATGAGTGTGACTGACGACTTGTGAAGCATGTTTTAATGTTGAAGTGGACCGAAACTAAAAGGGCCGATATGCTAAAGTTCCAGGAAGAAGAAGAACAACAAAAATAGATGCAGTCAAAAACTTTAATCTCGACTTTGACTTGTTTATTCCAACCTCTGAACAGTTTGAGCATGTTCTCATTAAGGCTGAAATGATTAATCAAATTAATCGTGATTAATCGATTAATTAAATAATCGTCACCTAATTTAGTAATAGATTAATCGTTAACCAGAGTATACAGACTCTAAATAAGGCCATTTGGTGAATCTGCAGTCAATAAGTCAAAACTGTGCAAAAGATGAAATACATTTTGTATTTGCGATGAGAATTTTTTTGGTCTGTAAATCTGTTTTACCCAGAACTTCTCAATCATATTTTTAGCTTCACCTGGTTCAGATTCTGTACAAATATTAAAAATAAAAATCTCCTATTAAGTATCTTGTGTTATCCAATTAATCAAAAGAAAAAAAAAAAAAATATATATATATATATATATATATATATATATATATATATACACTGCTCAAAAAAATAAAGGGAACATTTCACTTTAATTTTGTGTGTGGCTCCAAATCCAGGCCTCCATTGGTTAATAAATTTGATTTCCATTGATGATTTTTGTGTGATTTTGTTGTCAGCACATTCAACTTTGTACAGAACAAAGTATTCAATGAGAATATTTCATTCATTCAGATCTAGGATGTGTTATTTGAGTGTTCCCTTTATTTTTTTGAGCAGTGTATGTATATATATATATATATATATATATATATATATAATCTGCAGATTAGCTGTCATTCTTTTGGCTGCAGATGAACACAGTAAGGAGATGCTACTGCACACATTGCGTTTTAGGAAACAGAATTTTATTTTCATATTCAAAAACATAACTGATTTGCTTATTTGCATCTTTTAATTTATTTCTAATATTGTTGAAAAAGTCTTAAGTTGTTAAATGAAAAACCTACAGAAGGTGCCAATTTTTCAAATCACTTGACGTCAGAATAATCGATAGCTAAAATAATTGTCTTTAATAAGCAGCACCAGTACTTATTAAAATTTTATTCCCACTGCGATAAATTCTAACAGAAAAAGTGAACTTTTTTTTTCAGTTTTATCAACCTTTTGGCAATTGCTGGGAGGGACAACAAAGTTAGTTAGGAGTCAATTTCAGGATCCTCTTTGGACAAATTAATCAATCGGTCTACCTCTGGTGTAACAACATGCAAGTGAGTGGTTTAGCATTTTAATAAATATTTAATATCAATCGTTCTAATAAACATCGTGAAAGGCATCCACTCAGATGACATGCAGACGAATGGGTCTGTAGACATCACTGGAAGAAGTATTTACAAAGGAAGAAATCTAAAACAAACTGGATTTAAAAGAAATACGGCAAATACTAAAGGGTGACTAATTTACTATGAGATAAATGTGATGTGTGCTGTGGAGAAAACGATATGAGAGGGAAATAAACAGGTGTTAAGAAGGAGGATGTTAGTTGGAGCAACATACACATAACCAATGAGGTCAGAGAAGGGCTGCTTGTAGAAGTCTTCGTCCAGCACTCTGGACAAACATCCGCCCAACGACAGAGCAGCGAGAAGGCAGGAGAGGAGAGAAAAAACAGTAACATGGAGGAGGGGATAGAAAAAAGAAAAAAAAAACAGACATTATCATCGGTTAGCACTCAGATATAAAGTCCAACCATCAGCTTTTTTTTTTTAATCTTAAAAAATGAAGTGTTTCACCAGCTCAAAGAGGAAGAGAGGCTCCCGGGTGACTGTCGTTTCCGAGGACACAGCAGAGCAGCACACATTCAGCAACATGAGTGGGAAATTAACTAAAAGGCTATATCCCGTTGAGACAAGTCCTAATCTAAATATTCTTGATTTGGGTTTAATCTAAACAGTAAAACAAATTCTACGTGTTTTCCAGGCTGCAGTGACAGCTGAGGGTCTCCCTAAGCGTAAACCCGTATCAGGTTGCCATTTTGGAATCCGGCCACGAAGCCGCTACCTGTTGTTGGATTTAGTTTTCTCCAGCTGTTCGTTCTGCCTGGCATGCCAGTCCTCCAGCTCCAACTTGGCCTTCTCCTTCCACTCAGACTCCTGCTTGCGAGAGTTGGCATCTGCGGAGGGAATGCGGCGAGGCATGGGAAGAAGAATGAAAAATGAGACAAAAGCATATTAAACTCAGACTCTTGTGCTGAAAAAAAAAAATGTCCGCGGATGGAATTTATCGATTTTCGACACAAATGTGGGAATCGCTTAAATTCAGGAGTTTGTAAGTTGATGTCTGTGAGGACGTTTGTTTCAGAAGAGGAAATGTTGCCATTTTGATTTTGATCATTTGTTGTATGTATAAAAAATCCCTGAAAAAATAACCAGCTTATCCACCTACACCGTTTTTTCCACTGAAAAGAATTTCAATGTTTATTTCTGTCTTAATTGTCTTTTTTGTTTAGTTCTTTTCAGCATCGTGTGGTTTTCTTTTTAAGGATAAGGAAGGATGAAGTTAAATGAGGGATGGTAGGAAGATGAGGAGCAAAGGAGGAAGAATGGATGAAAGGAAATAAGGAAGAGCAGAAGGAAAAGAAGACAGGAAACAAAAAAAAACCCAAGAGAATGACGAATGAACAGGAAGAATGAAGGACAAACATAAGGAAAATCGGAAGGAAAGAAGAAAATGTAAGAAAGGATGGTGCAGAAAAAGGATAGAAGGAAAGAGGATATTCCTTATCCCGTATTCAAAGTGTATTTTCCAGACTGCACAGGAACCCTGAGCCAAGCCTTTTCGAGCATTCCTACTATGTGACTAACTTTTGACAAGTCTGACACTAAAAGACAAAAATGTTACATTAGCACAGACTTTATTTCAGTGAGAAACTGCACTGGATGCACCATTTTTATTCAACAAAGGCAAACGGAAAAACATCAACTGGTTCGCCATTTAAATGATGCTGACTTCTTCTGTGCAGGAAGTCAGTGTAACTATGAATAAATATGACTGTGACATGAATATGGTAACAGAGATATGTGGCTACATGAATCACAAATGGGCTCCAGCTTTTAGGAGACAATCAACAAATCAGGGAAATTAAGTTGAAGCTGTCTCTCTGTGCAGATCTTTGGGTTTTTACTTGTCGCAGCACAGAAAGCACAGATCGGTCGCTCATGAGCTGCTTAGAACCGAGTCATCTCTGTGAACCTACCTAGCACCTCCAGCCTCTCTCGTTGTTCCTCCCTCCACTTCCGGAGACTTTCAGGTTCGGCCTGCAGCCGGTCGGCGTTGGAAATGGCTGCATAGGCATCTGATGGACCGTTGCTTTCCTTCAAAACAAAAACAAAACATTTACTTTTTGATGAAGTTCTAATAAAATATATATATGCATTATTCAATAGCTTTCTGAAAAACTAAAATATTGCTCCTGACTATAATCCTAACACTGCATCTGGCATCTTTCGCCCTTTATTTCTGATTTGCAGGCACCACATCCGTTCCTAAAAGTGGGTTTCTCTCCGTCTCTCTCTGCCAGAAATCCTGACGGTGCAGAAGGACGAAATGTTGCAATGACAGCACAGGAAAAGGAAGCCGGAGTCATCAACTATAAGAACCTCGACGCACACGGTACTAGACTGAAGTAATGATGTAGAAAAAGCTGAAAGTCGGTGAGAAATTTCCACCTACGTTCATCTCCAACTTGGCCGCATCATTTCACAAGAAAACAAAACAAAACAAAAAAAATACAGAAAGAAACCAGTTGGGAGTTTTTCAGCCTGAAAATGTGTAAAGCTTGTCACTATGCAAAGTTTCATGTCAAGCCCAACTCATTTTGAGGAGGTTTTGTATCTACATTGGAAAACAAATAATTTAAACAATTTCCCAAGATATTCCTCATGCTCTACTGAAAAAAGTAAATGTGGTTTTATGACTCTAGTGAGCCTCAAAACAAAAACAAAAAAAGTCCTTAAGTTTAGTTTAAAGAAGGTAGGTACGATGAAGTTTGGGTTCCAGGTACAAAAAAATTGAGATAGAACATTTTAGTCTCCCCCCCCCAAAATCAAGACCACAGGAAGAAACAAAGTTCAAACTAAAACATCAGTTTGCATCGGTTTGTGAAGCCTGTAAAGGCTAAATACACATTTATTTAATGAAAAGTTAAAAGACACAAGTAGCTACAAATTCAGTCAATCTGGGGGGGGAAAAAAGAAACTTGTAGGAGAAAATAATGGAAGTATTACCCCGTGAAACTCTCCATTGATGGCGCCGTCTATTAAAAAAAAAATACAAAAAGTTAGAAAATAAAACCATACATATAAAAACACAAAGGGAAAAATTTCGAATAATTTTTAACGCTTTAGGAGTTTCATATGCGCACAATTACATTTATGACATGTCAGCATTTCTAACCAACAGTTAAAATGACACATTACTGGTCAAAGGTTGCTGCGTCGTACATAAATGTCCTCCTGCGGTTACTAGTAACGTTTGTGTGAATGGCCACCAGCAATGAATGACACGACCAAGAAAGCTACAGCTGATGTTATCACAAGCCTTTAGCCCATACGAAACGATGGCAAATGCTGCATTTATTAAACAAAGCACATTATGAAACCACCCCGAGTCCTAATACAAGCTCTTAACCGTTTCAGGAACTCAAATTAATCTTAAATAAACCCGACAGCAAATAAATGACAGCTCCATTAGCATTAGCCAAGACTAGGCGCATTAAATGTCGTGTCAAATTACCGTTTGTGTTACCGCGAGCATTTATAATTTACCGTCTTCTATCGTCGTAATATCCCCAGGTATTAACGGTAGCTACACAAGCGAAGTAACCCTGAATGGAGATGTTACGGTTCCTCCGTCGGAGCACAGCGGGGACGAACCGTTAGAGTCTCTGAGCGACGAAGGGACCTCTCCGCCGTCCAGGATGCTGAAGCCCTCGTCATTCTCGATCCCCGCAATTTCGCTCTCTTGTTGGGCCAGGAAAGCGGCGGCCGGGTCCTCCTCCGAGCCCACACCGTTTCCAGCGGCGGGTGCGTTCAGCATGTCAAAATCATCCATGTCGGTAGAACCTGCGGGAGGATAAATACGAGAAACGACAAGCAGGTGCTGGGATCCACGAAGAGCTATCAGCTAAACGGGAAGAAGGGCGAGGGGAGGGGTGACAAATCTATAGCTGTAGAAGCGGAAAGAGGGGGACAACCAATCAAAAGGCAGGATTGCGGATTGGCAGTATTAGTAGCCAATCAGTGACAAATTACATCAGAATTGGACCAATTACATCTCTTTAATCATTGCCTACGGGTCCCATGATCAACTACGTGTTTAAAAGCTGTTAAAAAAATAATAATCCGCAGACAGACTTCTGGCAGCGTTTATGTGCAGCTCTGTCGATTTACCGTTAAGTTCTTAACATTTCCTTGTTTTATTTCACTTAAAGTGTTAAATGGGATCAAGAAAAAAAAGCCTGTAGACACGTTAGTAACAAAAGTCATGTAATAATGTCTTATTCGTAAATGTTGCTCTGAAACAATTAAAGAGTCCATGTTGAAGCGTGGCTGTTTCTCTGTGAGCACTGTTTTGATGAAAAATTAAGTAAGTTCTAATAAGAAACTTTCTAAATTTAAACCAGAACAATAACTATCTTTGTTCAGAATCCCATATGAACCAGTATGGGTCTTTCTATCCAGAAGAATTGAAATACATATTACAGGTGTGCCGTCGCAATAGGTTTGAGAGAGATTCTTATTTAATCTGGCATGCTGTCAGCCTTTTCTTTTAATTTCTTCTACTTGTATAATAGTATCATTTCTCTTAATACTAAATTATAATTTAGTAGCTTACATACAACACATTGCCTTGCACAAGTAGCCTATTCTACACCTTTTCATATTTTGTCTAATTAAAATCCCAGATTCCAATATATTTCACCTTAACTTTCAGGGATTGACCAGAACAAAGTAGTGGATAAATGTCATATATTTTTTATTTTCATTTATCTATTTATTTCTTTTTGCAAAATAATTTGAAAAGCTTAGCATACAAACAAACTGAGAGTATTTCATCCTGATATCTGATATACTGATATCAAATGTTTGTCTCAACGGTGAAGACAAGACATACCCTAAATCTCAGACCTGCTGCTGCAATCATGGTGGATAAAAGTATTGAGCACAGAAAGAAAAGTAAAAAGGGAAATAACTGTTTTTTGTAAGGGGTTGGGGGGGGGGGATTATACTTCCACTCTCTATCCCTTTAAAATCGTCACATAAAATCCTTGTAAAATTAATTGATTTTGGGTTGAAAAGTGACAAAATAAGATTCAGATGTATGTTTCTCTGCTCCTCACATTCCTTCTTTTGCATTGATTTTTTTTAAAAAGTACTAGTTCCAATGGCAGATTATTTCACTTTTAGGAAAAAAAAAATGTCCTGCTATAAGTGAAATATTCTGCCAAAGGAATTAGTATTTTTAAAAATAAATAAGAAATTACTTAAAACAAGCTCCTATATTTTGCTAAAAAGCTGCTTGTAATTAGTTTTGCCTTATTTTAAAATGTATCAAGATATTAGCACTAGAAACTAGACAACACATACTTGGTAAAATTTTGATTGGACAGTTGCCACATCAGAGGGATACTTTTTTATTTACTTTTTTACCATTTCTGGGTAAGAGATGTAGCACTACTTCAATCTGAACCCAGCAAATTATAGGTTTGCCTTTACGAAATCACAAAGTATCCATTTTGAGCTTTATCCTTTCCTTCTGTAGCGCACAAGCTGGCATTGTAACACTGTCCTTGCAACAAAAACAGTTGTGTCCTGCTAAGGGATTGTGCCCCACTGTTTAATAATTAACTCCAATAGTCTCTTGAGATCTTAGGTGACAAGCAAACATTTGCCTGGCTGTTGAAGTATGCAGCTAGGAGGGAAAAAAAAGGCTGGGTTTTACAACATGAGAGTAATCAGAGTCTTAAAATCACAAAGGTGGGCCACAAAGTGTACAAATGGAAAAAAGTTTCACAAATGATGCAGGAAACAAGTTTTAATTTATATTAACAACATGAAGGGTGAACAAAAGTGGTTCCAAAACTGATCCTTGAGGGACTCCGCCTTCTGACGGGAGACATAATTGAACAGACTCTTTTAGTATCCAAAATGTTTTATTAATTGGACCAACAAAATCATTAAGCTTCTAGAAATATATTTTATACGGCACATAATGTACAACACAACATGTAGAAGTACATACAAACCTCATTATTCATCTTCAAAAGGCATCCTCCAAATGTCTTCATAAGGTCAGAGGTAATGTAGAAAACACATTCTATACATCCATCTCACCAGCCTGTAGCAGCTGCAAGGTTTTCTGTCAGTACAGCCTTATGTGATGTGCAGTAAAAATAAAATTCATAACATTAAATACAACAATAGCTGGTATCCCCCCCATGCCTCTGGAAGACGAGAATAATAAATGATATACAGAAACCTGACATATTAAGCCGGTTTAATGGATTTAGAACACACAGCAGAATGTCAACACTTTGGTCACATCTGGGTTTTGATAAAAAATAAAAATAACCCCCCCAAAGCTTAAGAGCTTCATTAAAGCTTTGTTTTACTGTAAGGAACTGTACTCTGCCTACTTCCCACCACTTGCATGTCAGTTTAGAACATACTAGCATTTTCTTCTCCCACCCAAAACACATATACGTACTTTTATTTTGCGGCCCAAATAGCACCGGTAACATTCAAACACAATGAAATGATGTTAAAAATTTGATCAGAACAAACAGTTTTTCACTGCAGTGAAAGAAATAAGGTCCACTTTGTCAAAACAAGACTAAAGTCAAGATTGAATAACCAGAAAACAGGTAAAAGAGATTCACTGAGTTTGGACTTCCAGCAAAGACGACTAGCTTTAAACTGAAGCAAACTGCCTCCAAAATGAGGGAATATTTTGGGAATTGCAGCTCTTTAACGTGGGAACGTCTGGAGATTATTTCAAGGGCGCTATTCGGGTTTGGAAAAGATCACAAGATCCTGTGATGGGAGAGCATAAATCTGAGCATATTGGGAAAAAGTCAATATATAAATATACACATTTAAAAGCTTAGTGAATATTTTCATTCTTTAGAAAACAACACCCTCTTAAGTAATGGTTAGCAGACGTGTCCTTTTCTCTGTTGTTCCCCTTCACCAATTTCCACACATTAGACAGATTCGCTACAACAGTAAGATTGCCACCACATATTGCACACAGAAATTTGGCCTAAAGACTTAAAAAGATTCGGTAGCTCCGAAGCATCTTTGTTTGGACTGATGGAGCCAAGAACTAGTACAGATCTGTTGAAAATAAAATTAAATAAACGGCTTAAAATGGCTTATAATCTGAACCATAGTGGTATCAGTTTAGCCATCGTCATGCTGGTGATGTTAGCAGACGACATAGGGAGAAACTTTGTGGTACATGTAGTATTAGGTTTGCCTAAATTCACCAAAACATAAAGGCAACTGGAAAATGCTTCACAGCTTAGATGGCAAATGACAACAAAGATAATAAAAAAAACCCTCCAGAATAATTTAGCTAGAAAAAAACGGAATATAGTGCAATAAACTAGTTAATTACCTCACCAGCCCTCCCCCACTTTCAAACTACAGTCATTAATGTCCGTAAACAAGCAATCGACTTATAGGGTTGTTCTCCCAAAAACTGTTTAAATTAGGATAAGGATTCATTGCAATACAAGATTCAAGTCTTCACTACAAGCCCTTCCTCCTTTTATCAAGGTTTACTCGATATATTCTGGTAAAACATCTTCCAAGTGTGTTTCCGGTTCTCTCAGTACGTCCTCCTCGTAGCGTAGTCCAACACCATGCTAGCAGCGCCGAGCAGGGCCGGTTCTTCCAGGTCGGACTTGACGACCTTGATGCTCTGGGCGGAGAACAGCGCTCTCTCCAACATGACCTGCTGCACCGGGGCCTGGTAGTAAGACGCCAGGACTCCGGACAAAATCACCAGCGACGGGTTGACTATGTGGAGGATGTTGACGATCCCTACGCCGAGCGCCAGGGACGCTGCAACAGGAAGAAGACACAAACACGGCTTAGATTTTTCTTCTAATTTTTCAGCTTTCTTCTTAATTCAAAGCAAAAATAAACCTTCACTGATGGGAAAATGACCAAAGCTATTCGCAAGTGAAAAAAACAAACAAACAAAAAAAACAAGTGACCAGAGTTTACGACCAAAACGCAGAGTCTGTGTTGTAAGTGAGAAAGCAGCAGCGTTCTGGGTCAGCTGACTGATTTTTTTAGGCAGACTTGTGAATACACTGCTGCAGTGATCAATGTGTCTAAAGACAAACACAAAGATGAGTTTCTCTAGATCTTGCTGGGACATTAGTCCTTCAGTCCTGGAAATGTTCCTCAGGTGGTAGAAGGCTGATTTTGTAACTGTCTTTATGTGTCTCTGAACGTTCAGGTCTGGGACCATCACTTTGTCTTCACTTGTTTCTAGCTAACAACTGAAGAAGAGTGAGGACTCTGAGTTGTTCCTCTTTACGTCTAAAGATGATAACTTCAGTTTTGTTTCTGTTCAGCTGGAGAAAGTTGTGGCACATCCACAATTTGTTCTAATCATCAATTCATGTCTTGGAAAGGTTCTGTCGGTATTTATGTACAGTCTATCAATTACAGCCAGACCAAACAGCTTTGCATCCTCAAAGGGCAGAGCTTTGTGCAGAAAAAATACCACCTGCTGAAAGCTCAGGGTAATTTTTGCACATTAAAAAAAAAATAAAAAAATCCCACTAGTCACTAGAATATTTTCAGAGTGAATGTAATCATTTTATAAGATATGTTTAGCTACGTTATGTAATATTGAACTTCAGTGAATGCTTTTTATTTACTTTTCAAAGACTCGGTTAAAGGGGATGAATCATTTTAATGTATTTAAAAGTCTAAATTATCACGAATGCCTCATTAGATCACGACCTGAAGTTCTTTGATAACTGAAATATTAAATAAAACAGTGAAACGTTTTTCTCTATCATTTTGTTCACTTC